TGCGGGGCGGGCAGGGACAGTGCTCGGGCTGAGCCGGGGCTGTTTCACCTGGCGCAGGTGCCAGCGACATCGAGCGGCTCCTGGGCGCGTTCTGCAGCCAGCAGGACGCCGTGGTGCAGGCGGCGCGGAAGCTGCTGACGGACGAGAGGGCTCCCCACAGGCAGAAGCTGCTGTCGGATCTCATCCACAACCTGAGCGAAAACATCCTGGCCGAGGACAGGGAAGATGACAAGAAGTGGTTTGAAGGTGTGTCTGTCGCATATTTACTCTCAGAAAATGGTAAACCCCAATGTTCCCTATTGCTCTGTCCAAGTGGCTCTGGAATACATTTTTCCCTGTTAATAGAGATCTGCATTTATGATGCCTTAATTATTCGCTAATAGTATAGAGAGAACTTGCACATCTCAGCCAGCTAACCTTGCTTTATGTCCTCTTTATACTTTCCTTGCAAGGTTTATCTCTCATTCCCAAGTGATTGCTGCAGTTCTTCCCAAACAATTCTGCTTTCTTTTCACAATCTTTGAGTGTTCTGTGTTATGCACATTAAGTGTTATGCACTTCCTTGAACACTTACCAACCACACCATCAGCTACTGCTCTCCCTGCAGATGCTCTGTGGGGTCCTGTTCTGTGCTGAGAGCAGGATAGTCATGAGCCAGTAAAATAAAAATGGGAGAGAAAACAACCCCAGTGCATCCTGAGTCAGGGAAAAGCTGGGAGGAGCAGCCAGCTGGGCAGGAGCAGTGCTGAGGCACAAAGCCCTCTCTCTCCCCCCAGGGCTGGAGTCACGGTTCAAGAACAAATCCAGCTACCTGCGGCACAGCTGTGAGAGCAGAATGAGAGGCTACATGAGAGAGGTAAAAGTTTCTGTTGCAGTAACTTATGTCAAGCTGTAAGAGGAATTCTGTGGCCATATGAGTATAAAGCACCTTTACAGTGCAACACTGGAGCCCGAGGCTGCTGCAGGAACCAACGAGTGACTGTTGGGTTTTCCCCCTCCAGGTTAGTGATTTCATTTCAAACGTTCATCCTGCAGCAAGAGATGCCTACAGAGTGGTCATTGAGCTGATGGCAGCTAAGTTGAGGTCTGTGAAGCATAATGGGAGCTACTTTGACAGGAGGGAGGAGGAGGAGGCAGCGCGGCTGTGCACCGCAGAGGGCTGGTTCTCCTGCCAGGTACGTGCAGCCCTGCCCGAGGCAGTCACTGAGTCCCAGAGTGGTTTGGGTGGCAAGGAACCTTAAAACTCACCTTGTTCCACCCCCTGCCATGGCAGGGACATCATCCACTAGCCCAGGTTGCTCCAAGCCACATCCAACCTGGCCTGGAACACTCCCAGGGATGGAGCAGCCACAGCTGCTCTGGGCAACCTGTGCCAGAGCCTCAGCACCTCACAGGGAGGAATTTCTTCTGTATATCCAACCTAAATTTCCCCTCAGTCAGTTTGAGCCCATTCCCCCTGGTCCTGTCACTCTGGTTCCTAACAGAGTCCCTCTCCAGCTTCCCTGTATCCCCTTCAGATCCTGGAAGGTGCTCTGAGGTCTCCACACAACCTTCTCTTCTCCAGACTGAACAGCCCCAACTCTCTCAGCCTGAATCTCCGGGGGGGGTGCAGGATCTCCCTGGTCCAGTGTACCACATGGCAGATGGTGCTCGGGTGAGGACTGTGACACTTTTCACTGCAGCCCTCTGGTTTCACAGGGACCTTTTGACAGAGACGACTGCCCTTGCAAGCATTCCATCAACCCCTACAGCAACAGGGAGAGCAGGATCCTCTTCAGCACCTGGAACCTCGACCACCTGTACGTACAAAGTGTTCATCCAGGCCTACCTGTTTCATGCCCTTCACCAGAATGGTTTAGCCTTAGCATTTTTCCCTGCCCTGCATCAGCTCTGCTGTGAATGTGCAGTGAGAAAAGGTGCTGGGATGCTGCAGCTGTTCTGAGAACAAAGCCCTGGCTGCAGATGATCCTCCTGTCTCCCCTCAGCTGCTTTGCTCCTGTACAAATTTAATTTGTGTGGAAGCAAACAACTCCCACTGCCTTGGCCTCTGTGAATTCTCTCCAGCAAAATCCCTCGGACCCATTTGAAATGCACATGTGAAACAAACAGGATTTGCTAAACTAATTTCCTTGGGGGGGTAAAAATCATAAACCTAGGTATGGTGAAAGTATTCAAGTCCTGCCTGGCTCTGGAAGGAAAACGGAGGCTTGATTATCAATGTTGTTTGCTCTTTGTGTCCCCAAGAATCGAGAAGAAACGTGCTGTTGTCCCAGAGCTGGCAGAGGCTGTCAAAACACGAGACGGAAGAGAAGTGAACTGGGAATACTTCTATCAGCTGCTGTTTACCCTGGAGAATCTAAAGCTTGTACACATTGCCTGCCACAAGAAAACCAACCACAACCTCAGCTGTGACAAAACCAGAATTTACAGGAAGAGGAAGCAGAACCACGAGATTTCCTAGTGCTGTCTCTGGAAGGGACCTGATCCTTTTCCCAGCCCTGTCAGTGCTGTGGTTTTTAAATAGCTCCCATTTCTTACACAAGGGCTATTTTAGAGTCCCTGGCACGAGATCTGCTGAGTAACCCAAGCACAGCCTGCAAAGCACACGCTGACAGCGCTTCATTCTGCTCTCCTGCCTTCCCACTCCCTGCCAGCCTCCCACAGCTCACACGTGCCAAGGGTGATAACATCCAGCTGGGAGAGCATAAAATGAGGCCAGAGTTGACACTGCTTCCACCCTGCCACAGCCAGCCCCAAACTCACAGCACACAGGAACAAAACCTGGACAAAACATTTATCGCAGCCTAATCACAGTTCCTTATTCTTTTCATTTATTCCTCTACGATTAAGCCAAAGAAAGAATGATTTAGGATCAGGAATGATTTGGGACTGAGGATTGTTCTGCTCTGTGCCTTTTGCAGGCAGCACCCAGTGTATCTCAGTGTGCCACAGGGTGATTGCTGCTGGCTCCCCTGTGCCAAACCCCTCTCCTGTGCTGTTGCTTCAGGCGTGCATCTCCCAGAAGGAAGAGTGAGGCAAGGCAGAGCTCTGCTCTTCCCACCTTTGTTTGCCATCTCCCTGTTGAGTTCCCTCTTCTTTCAAACATTTTCTGCCTCTTCAGCCTGTGTGCCTGCAGCAGCACCAGCACTGACAGCTCTAATAACCATGTTTACAACAATCACGTTTACCTGCAGCCTTAGGGGACATTGCTGGGGTAAAACACTTCCTACCTCAGGCAGCAAAACACAAACACATCGATTTTTACTTGAATTTTGTTCTTATCAACTGAACTTTTTGGGACTGTCAGTGTGAACCTTTTTAAATAAAAAAGTGACCCATATCTTTGTGTGTCTGTGGAGGTTCTGAATAGGGAAAGCTGTTTTCCCCCATGGTTTTGGTCCTGGGTCAGCTAATCCCCGTGGAATTGTATGGAGGTGGATTTCTGTGTGAGCACTGACTCACTGGGTCTGGGAGGTTTTGCTGGAGAGTATTGATTTGAACAACAAACTCAATCTCCTTCCAAACACTCCAGTCTGAAAAGGAAGGAGGTGCATTTTAAACACAGGATTTCTGACTCCAGTGCATGGAATGGATCCTCCCTGCACTGCTGGACCCTGGGGAGGGCAGCACGGGCAGCTCTGGGGACAAACCTGTGTGACTTGTGTCCCCCAAACCGAAAATCACCACTGTGCACAGTGTGAGACCAAAGCTGCAAAGAGCCAGGAGCACACATAGCACTGAGGGAGAGCTGCTGCAGGGTGGAGCTGGGCTGGAACCAGGAATGTGCTCTGGATTTGTCCATGCTGCAGAATGAGAGTGAAAAGGAGCCGATGAATCTTACTGACAGGAACCATGCATCGGCTGGAGTGGAGATGGGAATGCATTCCCAGGCCATGCATGTGCAATTTGTTTGCCTTACAACTCCTGAATGTTTAACAGGCTCGAGCTGTAGAAATTAATATTTATTTAAACCATCTGCTGATAACACTTTCTCTGCATTTTTAGAAACATAGAAGGAACAATAACAATAAATATCTGGAAGCTTATTGCATAATCACTTTCAAAGAAATATCCCAACACTGGGTGAGGCTGCAGTTCCTGGAATCAGCTGAGATTGCTTCTAAGTTGTTCCTTAGCAATGGGGACTTCTTCCTCTGCCCAGCAAATCCCACACCAAGAGATGTTATTCTTCCCTTATCACTTCAAACCCAACACCAAGGGATGTTATTCCTCCTTTATCAACACCAAAGTATTTGTTTATGAAATCCCTATCCATAACCCTCATAATTCAAGTGAACTGCAGATAACTGTGGGAATACTGTACCTGCCGATCCCAGCAAAACAAACTCTCCCAGTTCTCTCCCTGAGAAAAGGCAAACACCTTATATTACTGACACAGTCATTGCCCTGTGGTTGCAAAGGAAAAGGACGAGGGTTTCCTTTGTTTAGTCTGTTGTTAGACAACATCCTCTTCCTCCTCCTCATCTTCCTTTGCCATGAAATGGAGCTTCCTGACTTCTCTCCTGCTCATGGTCCTGCTTGAGGGCACAACTGCTGGGAGATGCTGGAGGGAAAAGGTGACATCAGTAAGGTAAGTCTATTGAGGCAAACAACACTCACTGCTCCACCAAACACCTCAGGAAACACCTCAAATGTGGCAGCATCACTTGCCTGAGGTTCTGCATGTCAAAGAGATTAAATTTAAAGCTTGATCAGTGCAAAAGCTGAAGTGCCCAGAAACCAGCTTCACTTCCAAACAATCCCAACACAGGCCGTTGGAACTGGATGACCTTTGAGGTCACTTCCAACTCAAACAGTTCTATGATTCTATTGAGAATCAATGCCCAGTAAAAAGCTATTTTGACAGCAATGCTCTGTCCCCATAACACAGCTATGTATGTCTTTATCAGTAAAAATATCTCTCTCATGGAATTGGGCTAAAAAATCTAAATACGGAAGACTTGACACCTGAAATTATTTGGCTGGGCAAGTAACTTCAGCTGTGAGACAATTCTACCTAGGGGACAGGCCACAGATCCAGATGTCTAACAACACTGCTCACGTTTGTCTGCAGTTTTGAGGCAAACTTTGGGTGGAGCAGAGCTGAGCCCAAAGCACGAACAGCCTCATCATCTCACCGGCTCGACGTCCCCGAAGAACCTGTGCACTGGCAGGGGCTGGTTGCTGTCCTCATCCGAGAAGCCGCTGTGCTCCAGCAGCAGCAGCGCCCGCGGGCGATCCTCCCAGCCGGCCTCGCTGCTCTTCTCCTCGCTCGGGACGTGGTGCTGCAGGGACAGAGCATCCTGCTCCTCCTCCCTCCCTCCCTCCGGCCCTGGAGTGCTTTCGCCTTCCTCCCGCGCAGTTACGCTGCTGTCTCCTGGATCCTTTGACCCCTGATCCCCATCAGATGCTTTCGGTGTGTCTCCCAGAGCAGTGAGGTTTCCATTCCCACATGGGAGTACTCCTAGTTCTGGTTCTTGGCTGCTTTTTTCGCGTTTCCTCCTCTTTGCAGGTGGCCCATCAGCCTCTCTGTGTGATGAGCTCTGTTAGAAAAAAAAAGGTAAGATCCTGAAGCACGCTTGAAACACAGAAAAATACCATCATCATATCTCTTTAGCTGGGATGGATGCAGAACCCAAGGGCTCCATCACACGAGCAGCACCCTGACCCAAACATTCCAAGTAACGAGTAGGAAGTGCAGATGAAGAGAGGCCAAGAGGAGCTTACCTAAAGCACAACGCACACTCCATCACTTCTCAGAGCACAAACTCGCACCGCACACGGCTAACCACCCTGCCCTTACTCCCGGGGATGCTGCAAATGGAGCAGGACGGAGTGTGTGGCCCAGCCCGGCACAGGCAGCGGGGCAGGACGGCAGAGCTCCCGCGA